GCTATGACATCATTCTTATTCGAGCTCGGTACCCGGATCCAGGGATCTAGGGAACGAGGGATCCAGGGATCCAGGGATCCAGGGATCTAGGGAACGAGGGATCCAGGGATCCAGGGATCTAGGGATCCTAAATTTTTAACTTCTGAATTTTTGAATTTTCAGACACCTACGTAAAAATGTGGATGGTCCAGCAAGGAAACAAACTGGAAAAGCGCAAGACCTCCGTCAAACCACACACCCCATCTCCAATTTTCAACGAATCCTTTGCCTTCTCGGTCCCAGTGAAAAATGTGCTCTTGGCTGAAGTGAATCTGGTTTTAACTGCCATGGAATACGATGTAATTGGCTCAAATGAGGAGATTGGACACGTCATTGTCGGTGGCCTAGGATCCGAACACGGCCAGAGACACTGGAGTGAATGTATTAATCATCCGGAGCAGCCAGTGGCAATGTGGCACAAATTGTGCCCAAAATGGTAGAGAATTGGGAATTGGATCCCAAAAAAACTAATTCCAAAAAAATGTTTTTTTTTGATTTGAAAAAAATGTAAAAAATTTTTAAAAATGTATTTTTTTTTTGAAATTTTTTTTCTGAAAAATTAACTTTTTTGTTTCAAAACCTTCCAGCATTTCATCCCAAAATGTCTGAAAAATCAATAAACCATCTGAATTCTGTTTTCCGTTCCCTTCTGTTCCCTCATACTGTAATTCCAATTGTTCTTTTTTCTCTCCCATTCAAGTATTTCTCTCCCGATATGAATTTTTTGATTCATTTTACGAAAATCTCAAATTTCGGTTTTTTGAATTTTCGAAATTTTTCAATTTCCTTCTATCCATCCACTCCCACACACACCAATTCAAACATCCATTCATTCATTCATTCTTTTTGAAAATAAATTGCTTTTTTGTTGATTTTTTTTTAATCCGGACATTTATACAGAAAAAATCAGAAATTCAGACATTTTTCTTTCTCTGGTCTTTTAGTATTTGAAGGAACAGTTGGAGAAGATGCGTCAGGAGATGTTTGGTCTTCGCCTTGCGACTCACAGTCGATGTGTCGAGTAGACTCTCTCAAATCAATCACTTCTAACCTTTTTCATAATCCAAGATGCAATTCTTTTTGACTTCTCTGCTCTTCCTGTTCTTGGCTCCAAAAATCGATATATAACACTTCAAATTATGAGGTGTAATTATGAGGTAATTATACATTGAAGGTGTAGAGGGCAGAAGTTCAAATTTTTGAGTTCAAAAATTTGATTTGATAAATTGAAAATCAAATTTCGAAAATAATTGTGAACTCAAAAATTCAGAAATGCCCAAAAATCAGAAATAAAAGGTTTTGCGAAAAAATCTGAATTTCAATATTTCGAAAAATCGAAAACATTTGAATTTGAAAATTTTTTTTCATTTTTCATAAAAAATTTTTTTCAGGCCAGAAGACAAAAAGAAGAAGAAAAGATCAACTATAACGACATCAACAGGATACAGTAATCGTATCTACACACCAGGGGACACTTTTTTTGAAGGCAAAAAATCTAGGGCGTTTTTACGGAATCTGAGGCAAAAAATCAATGAATTCGAAATTTTAGATAAAGTTCAACTTGGATATACCCCACAGGATGGCCAGTGAGAAATTTGTGGCCAACGATGGATTGTGCTCCAAAACTCCTCAGCTACCGTAAAACCTCTAATAGAACGATTCATTTCCAAAAACAACTATTTTCGCTGCAAAAATAGAAATAAAGAGCAAAAAATAGGTTTAAATCATTATGAGTCATTATTGTCATTTTAATGGGTTACTGTAGATTTCAAAGCTTTTCCGTTGTTTCTAATCTTGACATTTTTCAATACAAAATTTTCATCGGCTTTAATTTTTTGAATTTCCCGCCAAATTCTGTTCCAAAATCAATTTTTCCATTATTGC